CCACACCCACAAACACAAAACCCACAGCACCCACACCCAACGCCACACACCCACACACACACCACACACACACGCAAACAACAACCCACACCCCCTGCACAGAAATAACACCCACACACACACACCACGCAAGACACACCCACAAACACAACACCCACACGAACCACACACCCACACGCACACAAAAACCCACACCGCGCCACACACCACATAGATACCACGCCCACAATTAATTGATCATAACGCCCACCTCCCACACGCCCACACCCACAACGCCACACGCCCACAGAAACGCCCCACACGCCCACAACTCCCACACGCCCAACGCCCACACTTTCAGCCACACACACACAGAATACACACACACACACGCACGCACGCACAACAACACAGACACACAAACACACACACAAACACACAACACACGACGCACGCACGCACGCACGCACGCACGCACGCACCCACACACACGCACGCACGCACGCACGCACGCACGCACGCACGCACGCACGCACGCACGCACGCACGCACACACACACACACACAGACACACACACACACACACACACACACACACACACACACGCACACACACGTGACACTTGCGTCGCGGCCTCGCTTGCAGCGTGCGTCGAGGAGGAGGAGGAGGAGGAGGAAGAGAGGAGGAGTCGAGGCGTAGAGAGACATACACACATACACACATGGCTGGATTGACATGTGGATCGTCTGGAGGCCACGCGTTGGATGTCACGTGCGGAAGCCAAGCGTGCCCAGCCACAGCATGGCCACAGTGTACAGTGGAGGCCAGTCCACAAGAAACCTTCCACAAGAAACCCAACCCTGAGACCTCAGGGCGTCCATTGATTTTTGGCGTGGGCACGTCGCGCTCTGCATCGCAAGACCATCGAAACCTACGAAACCCAGGGCACCACTGGAGGCAAGCAGGGTGGTTCTTAGCATGGGCCTCCACCGTATCCACCTCTCGCCCAGGCTGGCCACCGACCCCAGGTGAGCGACGATCAGGAACGGGCCTTACGCGGAATGACACGGCGACCTCCCGCGGCGGCTTACGCGGGCCGCTGGCGCGGCACGCCACACTTTTGAAGCGAGGGCGCTCACGCGCGACCTTACGCGGGCAGCTTGCGCGCCAGTGTCGGCGAAGGCTACCCCCCTCTTCTGTATCGCCCCGGTGTTGATGGGCCGATTTTTCAACACCACTACCATCGGTAGGAGAGGGAGGAGGAGGAGGAGGAGGAGGAGAAGGAGGAGGATGAGGAGGAGGAGGAGGACGTAGGAGTAGGAGGAGGAGGAAGAGGATGAAGAAGGAGGAGTAGGCGGGGAAGGAGTAGAAGGAGAAAAAAAGAAAAAAAAGGAAAAAGAAGAGGAGGAGAGGAGGAGAGGACGGGATGAGGAGAACGAGGAGACGAAGAGAGAGAGGAGAGGAGGAGAGCAGGAGGAGGCAGGAGGTGGGGAGAGAGGAGGATGGTGAGGAGGAAGGAGGAGGAGTCAAGGGGAGGAGGAGGAGGAGGATGAGGAGGAGGAGGAGGACAATAGAGACGCTCGGATGACCTGTCATGCAAAGGAGGAGGAAGAGGGAGGAGGAGAGGAGGAGGAGGAGAGGAGGAAGGAAGGATGAAGAGACGAGGATGGACGAGTGAGGACAAGGAGGGGGAGGAGGAGGAGGAGGAAGAGGAAGGAGATGAGGAGTAGGGAGGAGGAGGAGGAGGAGGATGGAGGAGGAGGACGAGGAGGACGAGGAGAAGGAGGGGGAGGAGGAGCAGGGGGAGGACCACCCCATCCGCCCTGCTCCCCCGTCCAACCTCTGTCAGCGGCAGTGGGAAGTAAGAATTGACCCATCGGCTGTGGCCGGTCTGCCTTCGCGACGCCCGCGCTGGGGAGCACGAGGGCCACCAGGCAGCCGAGCGCCGGCCAGCGCGGCAGCCGCGGCGGTGGCCGGGGCCCCATGGCGCCGCGCGCGCGCCGCCCCACTCGGCGTGCCCAGCCCCCCTCGCGCCGTGGAACAGCCGCGCCGCCCCTCGGAGGCCTAGGGAGGCGTGCCCTCCACCGGCATCGGCGGTGCGCCTCCGCCGCCGTGGCGGCCCGAGCCCGTGTGGCTGCAGGCGGGGGCGGCGAGGAGCTGTTGCTCTCCTCCCCCTTCCTCGCCCTTCGTGCCTCTTGCTCTCCTCCCCCACCCCCTCCCCCTCCCCCTCCCCCGCCTCCTCCTCCTCCTCCTCCTCCTCCTCCTCCTCCTCCTCCTCCTCCTCCTCCTCCTCCTCTTCCTCCTTCCTCAAGGTGGCCCAGGTCCTCCTCTGTTGAGAGGCCGCCTTTCCATCTGCAATGCAGCCTTTTACTTTCGCTTATCGGAACTGTAGACGTCATGGACATTTCGGCCTACACACAGCCGACGCGTGACAGCTTCCATGGATGTGTCGCAGTCTGCATTGGAACCCCTTGTCGCTCGTATCTTCTCATCGCCAAGAGGAGTTCGTAACCCAGTCGGGCAAGAGCTTCCACGAGGGTGCACTCGTCGGCACGCAGCTGCTCGCGCAGGTGAACAGTTGAACGGCGCACAGTTGCTGACTCTCTTCTTCTGCATGCTGGGTGGTCCAAGGGCGCCCCGACGGGGCGGGGGGGCGCCGATCGGCGCCGCATCCTGTTTTGCACCATGCAGAACGGCCCCACGAGACACCCGAGAGGGTCCCCAGGGGGGTGCCAAGGCGGCCCCGTCGAGGGCCTGGGCTTAAGGGAAAAGCCTCAACATTCCACATGGGAAATCGTTTCCTTCGCTCTCTACGATGCCCCCTCTCGATTCCAGGCTACTCGTACCCTCCACCCCTTGCTTTGTTTTTCTCTTCGTGTTCTCTGGCTCGTCTCAACTCTCTGCACTCCGCATCCTGTTCTCTGCTCCATGTCGCTTTCGACGATCTGCCCATTGCCCACGAGCCGCTGGAGCTGCGGGCTGCGTGAGTCCCACACCGTTCGACACTGGGCTGTGGTGGCCTGAGCTCGCAGGCCGAGGGCCTGGAGTCGGACGGAGGAGGAAGGGGATGGACATCGCTGCCTGTGGGCTGTGCTTCCCATGATAGGGCCATGTTCCACCGCCACTACCACGGGTAGGACGGGGGAGAAGGGAGGGGGAGGTCTTCCTCCTCCTCCTCCTCCTCCTCCTCCTCCTCCTCCTCCTCCTCCTCCTCATCCTCCCTCTCCTCCTCCCTCTCCTACCTATGGTGGTGGTGGTGTCTTCCCGTCATTCCACCTCGGCCGCGAGGGGTCCAGGGTCGGCCTAACTAGTTCGCGACCGTTTCGAGATGGGCGGCTTGGCTTCGCAAAGGTTTTGCTGACCTATCTGCTTGTCCTCGGGCTCTCCTCATCTTCTGCATGGACCTCAACGACGGCATAGGTGTTGCGCAAACGGATGGACAGTGGGAATGCAACAATCCCTCGGTTGTCTCGAAGGTGATTGCTACTTGTGGGAATATTGTGGCAGGGGCAGGGCATTTGGGCTCGTGGAATCATGGAAGAAAACGAGATGGTGCTTCTTGGGCTTCGACGGGTGGTGGAATCTACGTGGTTTGGCAAGGACGGTATTTCCAGCAGTGTAGACTATGTCTTCGGGCCGTCGGCACCTCTTGGGATGACGAAATGTGGGGGCCCTTTGCGTGGCCGCTATCCACGGGACCACATCCCTCCGCATCTGAATCTAGTCTGGGGGCATTCCGAGCCCAGCGAGCTGCAACGACCTGACAGAGACTTCTGGAATTCCGACGCCACGAGATCGAGGGAGGCTCGGCAAGATCTTGTAAAACTCGGCCAACTGGCCGCCCTCGAACGCAAGGGGGCCCGAGCCGGAGGCGGCCTGGAGGGCCGGGAAGCCCTACACCTGCATCGGATCTTTTGTTCGAACTCCACGCTCCAGGAGCCGGCTCGGGAAGTCGTTGGCGGCACGACGTGTTCCGCGCCTCCAGGGCAGCGCAGGCAAGCCGAAGAGCGTCTCGGTCCTCTTCGCGAGCGTCGCCGTCTGCGGCCCGAGCTTCGCGGTGCCAGACAAGAGGAGGAGGAGGAGGAGGCGGAGGAGGAGGAGGAGGAGGAGGAGGAGGAGGAGGAGGAGGAGGAGGCGGAGGTGGAGGAGGAGGTCATTGCTGCCCAGCTCAGAGCCAGCTGCAGAGCTTGCGCCAAGCTTGGGAGGAAGCACTTCTGTGGAACGGAGGGAGGAGGCAACAAGGAAGTTGGAGGAGGCGTGGCGTATCAGGAACAAACACAAGGCACACCGTCTAGTAGGACTACTGGCATCGCGAGGCAAGGGCCCCAGAGGTAGGTCCTTCAGGCATCTACAAGGTGCTTCTCTTTCAGCCGACGAGTGGATGAGCGTCTGGAAACTTCGGCGGCGAACGAAGGGGGAAGAGAGAGGGGGCCGGCCTTCTCAGAAGGCTCGGAAGTTCCCCAGCTTTCTGACAAGATTTCTGAGCCTTCCCCGAAGACGCAGAAAATTGTTCAGAAGGCACGAGGGCCTCTGAGAAGCCCCGCCGCCTTCTGAGACGGCCTTCTCCTTCTCACTTCCCCCCCTCGCTCGCCGCCAGAAGACAGAACGACCTCAAGGGGGGGGATGGAGGTGGAGGGGATTCACGAGATGGAGATGGAGGTGGAGGAGGTGGGCAAGGAGGGCCACCTCGGAGCTCTCAGTGCAGAGGCGCTCGCCGACAGGCTTGGGGAAAGGCAGATGCTCGAGGCGCGCTCCCAGGAGGAGGTCGCGTCCCCCTATGGGCTCTTCCGGGCGAGCTTTCAGTGTGGAGGCGCTCACCGACAGGTTGGGGAAAGGCAGATGCTCGAGGCGCGCTCCCAGGAGGAGGTCGCGTCCCCCCTATGGGCTCTGCCGGGCGAGCTGCGGGAACTTATTGCTGTTGATCCTGAGTCTGGGCTCGCTCCAGACAGGCTTTGAGGCGGAGCCAAGCGCCAGGTTGAGACAGGGAGGAGGAGGAAGAGGAGGAGGAGGAGGAGGAGGGAACTGATTGTTGATCCTGGGTCTGGGCTCGCTCCAGACGGGCTTTGATGAGGCGGAGCAGCGCGCGGGGTTGGAGTCGACGGTCCCTGCTGCGGCCCTCGAGAGGGGCCTGCGGTGCGCAGGGTCTGCGGAGCGTGTTCCTCGGCCATGGAACTGCCGCTCCTCCTCCTCCTTGTCCTCCTCCTCCTCCTTGTCCTCTTCCTCCTCCTCCATTTCCTCCTCCTCCTCCTTCTCCTCCTTCTCCTCCTCCTCCTCCTCCGTCTCCTCTCTTTCTCCTCTCTGACCTCTCATCGAAGGTTGCTCCTCCGTCTCCTCTCTTTCTCCTCCCTGACCTCTCATCATCGGCCATGTGCCCGACCAAAGTCGCCTACTCTAGGGCCGAAGGTGAAGCGGATCAGACATCTCTTGGACCCTCTGGGAAACGCCTGCCTCGCGGGAGCCACTGCCCGGAAGAGGCCCGCTCCCGAGGGGCCGTCGGACCACGGCGTCTGCAAAGGCCGACGTAGAGAGGGGGCCACGATGGTCATTCAAGTTCTGCTTCATCGGCTTCGACTCGGCGGCTATTCAGCGACTTGGTCGAACAGAAATATGTCCAACGCGTGTCCGTCTACTTCCAGGGCTTCGCTTGAATTTGCAAATCCACTTCTGCTGGAACCCCAGGACCAGATGTTTGGGCGCAACTGTGTGAATGATGCTACTATTTTTTCCTGCTGGTGACAGATGGCGCCTGGTGAAGCCTAAGTGCGGAGCCCTCATGGGGGGACCCCCTGGGCAGGGAGGCGAGCCACCTGCAGCAGAGGCGAATAGGGCCGCCGTCGCCGGCGCTTCAGCCAGGGGCAGCGGTTACAAGGGCGGCCTCGTCAAGAGGCAAGCGTTGGAGGAGCTGGTCGTGGTGCTGGCCGGACTGGTGCTCACGGACGAGGCAGAGCTGAGGGCGCTGCTGGGCGCGGTCTACGACACCTGCCTGCTGCCGCTCGACTGGCGCGTGGTCCAGCGCATGCTCGAGGAGGGGGCCTCCTTCAACGCGGAGGCGCAAGAGAATCGAGAGAGGCAGAAGGCGGCCGAGCAAACGCTGTGCATCAGTGCAATCAGCGCATCAGAGCAATCCCCTGATCTCTCTCTCTCTCTCTCACTTGCTATCCCTGTGCGCTGCCAGGGGCGAGGGGGATCCAATTGGGGAGGACTGTACGCTCCTCCATCCTCGACTCTGCTACCAGACGACTGTCTCTCGACCTGTGACGATGCGCATGGACGGCCATGGAATGACATTGTGCTACCGACCGATTGCTTATGATCTGTTATCGGCCGGTTCAGAGAAGTCCCGCCGCCTTCTGAGAAGCCCTTCTCCTTCTCACTTCTCCCCCTCGCTCGTCGCCGAACAGCGAAGAATCCCCAGTGCACACCACGCTGGCTGGCATGCGAGGAAGGTGAACTGAACGCAACGGGCCCTGGACCCGGCTGCTTCTTCGTGAGACCAGCTCTCCGTGCAGTCGTGTTTTGTGGCCCCTAGGCCCGTTGACGGCCCCAGGAGCTCGAAAACGGGGGGTCACTGGAACTGCATAAATGCATAATCATAAACTTTATGGCGCCCTTACACGTCAAGCTGTGCGCAGGTCAGAAAAAAACCTGCCTCCCTCTCTCCCTCCCTCCTTCTCCTTATCCTCCCTCCCCGCTGTCCACCATCCCTCCTGCCTCCCTCCTTCTCTAGAAAAAGAAAGAACGCCACAAACATAAACTGTTGGCGCTCCGCGCGGACTTCTTAAATCCGCGCTGGACCCCCCTCCCGGGCGCGCGGAGCGCGCTAGGGGCGGCGCCGGATGCGCCGCCGGGGATGCCCAGCGCGGAACCAAGAGATCCGCGCGGAGCGCCAAAAGTTTATGTTTGTGGCGTTTCTCTTCGTCGAGTCCCACGGCCGAGCTGAGCGTTCACCACGCCGCTGATGTGCTGCTGGAAGGCAGGGACCGGCCAGGACTGAGTTTCGCTTTCGCTGCTTGTTCGCTCTCCGCTGCGAGCAGGAGGAGGAGGAGCAGGAGGAGGAGGGGGAGGAGGAGGAGGAGGAGGAGGGGGAGGAGGAGGAGGAGGAGGAGGAGGAGGAGGAGGAGGAGGGGGGAGGAGGA